TCAACAGCTTGTAAAATGGATTTAAACTCGGCAGAAGGCTGCAGACTGCTCTCTTTGCTCAGGAAAAGGAAATACTCCATCCTGGTATCTTTCCCCCCCTTTTGTTAAGAGTTTCAAAGGTGACAAATACTGACTTTTAAAAAAATATATATTCTTAAATGCTGTCTAAATCTGTAATGGTGGATTGATAAAACCATGGGATTATATGATCAAATCTTTGAGAGTACCACTACAACTCCAAAAGATAGAGCATTCAATGTCTAGTCTGTGTTGGATATAATAGGAATGATCGAAAGGCCCCGTTTCCCCCCTAGTTGTTCTCTAGGCCAGAAAGGAACAGCTTAAGAACCACCTGACTATGTGTGATCCAGTTGCACGTTTTGATTTGTCACAAAGCGTACGGAATGGTGATTGAAAAGGATCCTGTAGAAATGAGGCTCTGAGAACTTTTCATGGGTGAGCCACGGAGCACAGCTGTGCTCGTAGCATATTGTTACATATCCCGTCAGTGCTTATGGAGGAAAAGATCCTGGTGGATTGCAGTCTGTGCCACATAACCACGAGTCTCAAACTTTGATTTCTCATGTCTCTCTTCTTCCTTCACTATCTTGTCATGTAAGTAGGCAGGAGACAGAACACCCCATTTGGATGCCTTCCTTTGGGAGTCATCTCTGGCAGCAGTAGAAGCACCAATAACAAGAGAATGGGACTAGGCTTGCCGGTCGGTTGTAGGATGGCAGCCAGTGATGGCACGGTGAATAAACAAGCCACAAAATAAATAAATAGTCCAAAGGGAAATGTCATCTCATTTTTGCACAATCAGTGGAAACAAGTGACATGATGAGAAAAAATGAGGGATAGACGTTCCGGTGCTTTGCAGCGTTTGCCTAAGCTTGAAAAATCGGCTCCTTTATGAAGCTCGAAGAGGGAGACGCTGGGCGCATACCAAGTATTGAGGAAATGGGAAATATGACAAATCTTTCACGGGGCTGCGATACAGGCAGAGTGAAGGTTTTACAGCTGCCTCATCACCTGCTTAGGAACGGCAGAGCTCTCTTGTGAGACTTTCGCAGGCAGCCAGCTTGCACCCCTACATGAGTAAGATTGATGGTGTTCTCATCCCAGGCAGCCAATTTCCCTCTCTCAAGAAATAATCCTCCACCTTGACAGATATGTGGCATCTGATGGGGATGCTCACCATGGAGTCAGGTGTTTCCACATCTGGATAGGACAAGACAGTGAGGGTCCTTCAGGAAGACACAGTTAGTGGTTTTTAGAAGATTTCTCCTGTCATAATATGAAAAACAGCCTGAATGCGTGATCTGATTTGGGATTGCAAGAAGTGGTTGAATGTAAGAGACCTGAAAGTGTGTTAATGAAGAAAGTGAACTGATTTGAGTGTCTTCACTGATGGTCCCCAAGCGATTGCTATTTTTCATAGTTATATTATTCACTTCAAGTTTACCACTTTGAGTTAGCCATTGTTTAAGAAAGACTAAAAATGCAGCATCAAAGGCAAAAAAAAAAAGAATTTAGAAAGAGGAAGATGACTGATGCATAATTGTAGTACTTTAATACTTCTGTATTGGAAGGCTTTTTAAAAAAAGGTTAAACACTGTTGTACTTAACAGCCTACCTAGCATAATTCCACCCTAACCATTATAATTTCCCACCCCCAACATTGGATGGCTATCCATAATCATAGGTGAGGTCCTTAATTTGTAAGAGACAAGAAGTTCTCCAAACAATAAAAAAAAATCCTCAATAATGGAGCTTCTGTAGATTAGGGTAGTAAAAGAAAACAGGGTCCACTCTGTCATTTGCCTCCTTGACTTGATAAATAAAAGACCTTCTTTAAAGACCAGCATTTTTCAAAATATCACATGATTTGGGGTTTTTAACGTGTCGCTCTAGAATGTAATTTTAAATGGAGCTGTGTGAAGAAATGGTTTCTTTAACTGGACGGTTAGTGTGAAGATTTTGTAACGAAGGACAAGGCCAAATGGTAAGCCCTTCAATGTTTTCATTAGATTTGTATGTCTACGGATGGGCTGGGGGGGGGGGACGACTGAGGTGCTAGAAAATGCTACATGGTCACTGCTAGGGTTGCCATCCTCCTGGTGGATCCTGGAGATCTCCAGGAATTACAGCTGATCTCCAGCTGACAGAGCCGTTCCCTTGGAGAAATGGCTGCTCTGGTGGGTGGGCTATGGAACTGCATCCCTGCTGAGCTCCAAATCCCACCCTCCCCAGGCACCGCCTCCCAGATCTCTGGGAATTTCCTAACCCAGGGCTGGCAACCCTAGCGGCTCACATCACTGAGACATAAGGATCTGCATGTTTCTACATCCATTAATCCCCAGTGTGGGATGTGATCTTGTTTTCCCTCACTTCTCTCTGGTTCATGCCTAGCCCAAGTGATCCAAATGCAGAAACTTCTTTCCAGTTATGGACTGCTTCCACCGAATTAGAGCAAAAAACTTTACTTGAGTTTGTTGGAGAGAGACTGTGGCACCATCGTTAGACACTGATTGTTTCCCACACACCTTTTCTGCATCTGTAATACGAATCTGTCATCTACCATCATTATTAAAGTGTCTGGGAGTTACCAGTGTGTGCTGACCCGAAAAAGGGTAACATGTTTTGATCCTTGTGTTATTTGCTCCCTTGTTCTCCACTTAGCTGTGATGCTTCCCCTTGCTTTTGCACACCCGTGCTGTTTATGAATCACATTAATAAGTAAGTACTGCGAAAGATTATGTAAACAATAAAGGACAATTGACAAGAGTGACACAAAAGGCAAAATCCCTTCCCAAGCATCCTGACAACAACCAATTACTGGAATGTCATGCCATGTGTGCTGACATCAGAAAATTGGATCATGGCTCTTGCTTTCATTCGCTTCCTGTCAGAAACTGGATGTGGACTTGCAGACACTTCATCTTCTGTTCTTTGTGAACCAGCGTTGATGATAAGTCCACCAGCATTGATAATAAATCCACCAATGGAGATGCTGTGGTCAAGGTTATCCACATGAAATGACTGGTCATCTGGGAGAGGTTATTAGTAGCCACAACTAACCACAATTAGTTCATTTACAAGCTCGGTGTAAGCCACTGGTCCCCAAACCTGATCCTATGGATAGTTCTGGACAGGGCTTTTTTTCCTGGGGGAATGCGCTGGAACAGAGTTCCGGAACATCTTCGACATTTTTTAAAAAAAACTTTTAAAAGTTCATGAGTTTTCAGTATACAGATTGAAAACTTTATTTCCCTCTTGAGAGTTCCGGCCCCTTTGTTTCAAAAATGGAGGGCCGCACAAACTATTTGTTATGAGGGGCATTCCTCAAGGGAGGGAGAAATTTCTCATATATTCGAGCTTACATGGAGGGGTGTTGGAATCTTTTCTTGCCCCCTTCCCCCTACCTGTTTTTAAATAAAGGTTTGGTTGAAAAGAATTTAGAGGGGGAATGGAAGATTTTAGTTTGGGAAGGAGGCCAAGAAAACAACTTTCAAGTAACGATGTAGTTGTCTCAACGTACTAATGTTTATCCAAGCGAAATAAGTTGGAGTGTGTGGCCTTAGCTACGATCTGTAAGTAGCTACGATCTGTAAGTCATCATGAGATCAGGGCCTCTTACAGAGGAAACCAATTGAAGCCAATACTTTGGGGGCCTGCAAGCTTGTATACTGTGCTTGGGGCATCTGTGTGAGAGAAAAGGTAGCAGATTCTGGGTGGGTTGGCTGAGTCGACTTTGTTGGGACTGGCGGGGAGAGTACACCTTTTATTCTCTTCTGGCTCTTCACATATTGATCTTTCACTGCTCATAGTGAGGCTCCCTCTTCCTTCTTTTCTGCTGGCTGTGGATTTGTTGTGGAAAAGTAGTTTCAAGCAAATGCACATTCCCATTCAGGACAA